CCTGCTGACTGCAAAACAAAGTAAAAAAACCAAAACCCACAACCCAAAAATCCCACAAAACAACACAACTTGGCGTGGAGCTGTAGCTTGTGCGAAAGCTGAGGAGATAACGGGGGTTGAAAGATTTGCTGGGTAGCCTTGAAAATTGCTAAGTAGAAGTACTGTGATCAGTGGAACAGTTTAGTAGCAATAATTAAGACTGAAGTAAGCAGGAAAATATTGAAATGAGCTTTGCTTATCAGTCCCTAATAATGACTTTTTAAAACCTTCACAGAATGTCAGTTCACCTTTGAGAAGGCTATAGAGTACGTACCATTCGGTATGTACACTCTCTCCTCTATTTCTAATGTTCCTCTTGGGAGGATTTTTTTGATTGTACGATACTGTTTTTATGAACATCAAAAGCCTCTTTGTAAGACAACCTCGCTTGACTTCTCAGGAAAAAATACTGAATTGAAATGAACTGCATGAGAGTTTGTATTTCTTGTAGGTTATAGAATGTTAACGGTTTTAACTTACTAATAATTCCTAAAGAAAATTATTCCAGAATTTGTACCTGTTCTTGTTTGTTTTTTTGGTTTTGTATTTTTTTGGTTCTGTTTTTTAAATCTTGTCCATGGTTTTTTATGTGTTAAAAACTTTTTGTCTTTTTATGTCTCATTTTTAGAAGCTGCTAACTTGTGCCAAACCTCCACTGCTGCTACTACGCCTGTGACTCTTACTACTCCATTCAATATAACGTCCTCTGTGGCTTCTGGGACTATCACAAACCCAGTCACAGTGGCAGCTGCAATGAGCATGAGAAGTCCAGTAAATGTATCAAGTGCAGTTAATATATCCAGTCCGATGAACCTAGGGCATCCTGTAACTATAACAAGTCCATTATCCATGACATCTCCATTAACGCTCACCACACCAGTCAATTTACCTACCCCAGTAACCGCTCCAGTGAATATAGCGCATCCAGTCACCATAACATCTCCTATGAACCTCCCCACACCGATGACGTTAGCTGGTCCATTAAATATAGCAATGAGACCGGTAGAGAGCATGCCTTTCCTGCCCCAGGCCTTGCCCACGTCTCCTCCCTGGTAAAGAATTTCTAAACAGTATTAAAAAGGATTAAAATGGAATCCTTACCAGCAGTTCTTTTTTGGGTTTTGTTTGGTTGGGTTTTTTTGTTTTGTTCTTTTGTTTTGTTTTGTTTTAGTTAATAATAAATTCAGACTAAGACACTGGGGCAACATGCACCATCAGAGACCATAGTAGCATCTTCCCCTGTTGATTTGGCTCATATGGTTCAAACTTGAGTTTCACTGGAGCACTTCGTTGAAAGTAAGTTTTACCTTTTAGCTGACTGATGCTGAATTACAGCAGATACTTATTTGCCAGAGTTTAAAAAAAATAATCATAAAAAAGCAGTTTTATGTTTTGTCCCCCAAATTATAACATAGAAAATTATTTTAATCTAAACACTAGCAAAAAACCCCTCTGTATCTTTAACAGGGTGGATGGCTAATTTTAACTTGCCAGTTGCTAAGTCTCCTGTTTCTGAGCTAGTGTAGAATCTTTGTCTGTGTTAATGTTTGGGTTTTTTTTAATGAGTAAATGCATTACAGTGTTGTCATTTAAAAAAAAAATGCATTTTGGAGAAAATATGCATTTTACCTTTGGGAATATGATAATTTCAGGCAGCATTCCCTATGGGAAAGGTGATACCAGCTCTGATATGCAAAGCATATGATAACTTATCATTCTAACTTCAACATATAATAGGGATTGTGACCTGATATTTGGAGATGTAAATATTACCCAACATATTACCCTAAGGGAATATAGCATTGTAGTCAACATTTTTTTAAAAAAACCTGTTATTGTTTGGTGAGAAACAGCCATGGCTGACAGAAGAGGAGTCGAAATGTATGTAAACATGGTCTCTGAACAGTCAGACCCCTATGGGACTCTTATCTAGGAGCAAAAGTAGTGCTTTGAAACTTAAGAAATATTGCTTTAAGCTGGAAGATTCTAGAGGCACTGGGTGTGATTTTTATGCCCTCTGCCTCCCAATCAGAGCCTGCTGGTGTCACAGCAGGGGACAGACAGACGTGTTAGTTGTTCACTAGAAGTTTTGTCTTATATTAAATTGTATACAGTTTTTATTCTAACCACTAACTAGGTAGGATGCCCCTCCAGGACAAGCAGAGAGCGTCTTTTAATTTCTCCCCTATTTCTTAAGTGTTGTGCAAATCTGTTCAACTTTGTAAATATTTGCAAACATCATCATTTTTACGTTACTCTTCTATTGTGTTAACACATTTCTATCAATTTGTGAGAGTTCTGGGTTGATGGTTTGAACTATCCAGCCCAGAACTTCTCCGCAAATGGTCACACATGTTTAAGCTACATGTGCTTTTTATTTCTTAACCTGTTTATCTGTACATAAAGTAGAAAGCAAAATCTAGGGAAACAGATATACTTTTTAGACTATCATGTCACATATTCACCTTTTTAAAACTTTGTTTAAAAAAAAACAAACCAACACCCTAAACCCAAGACTCTACATTTAAAAAAAATAATAAAATTACAGTTGAGATGTTTTTATCTTAATAAGGTTGAAAGCTATGGAGATTAGCGTGTGCGCATTTTCACAGAGTGCTAGCAGGACTGACTAGTCAAAATGGACTGCTTCCGTTCCTACCCTGCCGTGTCAGTACAAGCAGTGATTGCCAGGCTGCTGGCTCAGGTGACAGGTATCTGTATCATTACGTGAAGCTGTTCTAGGGGCTTGGACTACATAGTAAAACAAAAACAAAAAAAATAGAGCTTAGTGTAAAATAATTTTATAAATGATCTTTTGTACTTTAGGACATCAAATTGTACAACTTTTGTATATATAAAAGCTTAGGAACTTTCTGTTTAGCAGAAAGGAAACACATTCCTACACTTTTAATGTATATGTTTGTTATAATGTCCATGTAAACATATGCCCTATGTTTGTGCCTTTTAATTAGTTTGTCTCAATAAACAAAAATGTAGAGAAGAATATGTAGCTATGACTTTGTTACCACTGTTCCTACTCCAGATGTGTAGAGGTCTTCGTTTTTGCACTGTGTAGAGCATTGCGTGCAGACAGCTGCATGACTTCGGCTGCTACAGCCGGTATGAGGCATGTGAGGCGAATGCACCCCAGCAAAACTCCTTCCTCCCATAGCGTAGAGGTGCCCACGCTGGTGGGGCGTTGCATGTTGGGATGTGTAGTTTCCAAGCCATCTCTGTTCCCTGTGGCAACGATACCAACTTGCACCAGTTTTACATAGTAGGTGTAGCGTTCTCGATCTGGGTAAATTGCAGAGATGACCCTTAGATGAAGTTTGGGTGTCCCCGAGCTTAAAAAAAAAACCAAACCAACAACCCAAAAGCATTAAAAGCCAATATGAAAATGTATACTAGAAGTGGTTATCTATGAATTACTTACAATAAACAGGTGTGAGACTTAATTGTATGTTGTCAATTACTGTAGTATTGACAGTGGGTCCTTCGTACAGCTAGTGTGCCCTGCTGATGTTATTTTTATCCTGGCAGAGTAGCAGTAGAATAAACACATTAAACACGGGCAGGGAAATCTTTCAGTGTGACAGAGGCTTCCCAAACCCACTAACCGTGGTGCTCTTAGCATGGGATAGGAAAAGGGCTGTTTCCTTTTTCTTTTATGTTGGTTCTGCTCGAATGTACCTGGTTTATGTCCACAAAGCCGCATTAGCTAATTGTCAACCTGTTTCATTTGTACTTGGGTAAACATTTGCTTTGTACTGTGTATAAATGGTTCCGAGGTGTGCTCCTCAGCTGTCTCAATACAGACATTAATTTCACTTTGTAATGCCATCGTGCAAAATACATTAACCTGTTTTTTGACAAACGAAAGCTACCTGGTCCAGTAGTTTATATGGCACGTGTGCTACCTTATAATCGCTGGTGCATCCACAGTATGAGAGGGCAGTGAGGCCAGCTGCTGTCGGGGGACGATGTAGAGCTGCACGACAGCGATGAGTGATTTGCATGGCAGCTTGTGTCGCTGCGGTGCTGGGAAGTTAAGACTGTAAGAAAATGGTGGATGTGAAGAACAGATGCTCCTGTTACACCGAGTTAGTTTCTATGCAGCTGATGCGCTTAGCCTAGTTTATTTCATGGAAACTTTTAAGCTGGATCTAGTCCAACATCCAGGGAAGCCTATTGCTGCCGTTGATTTGAGTGGGTTTTATATCGAGCCCATTCAGGTCTCCGATTGCAAGTAGTTCAATAGAGGTTTTATTTTTTTCCTTCTTAAGTTTCCATAAGCATTCAGCATGAGGTTGACGGCTTAGCACCGACTGACAGTTTTAAAGTTGAATTTTGCCTTGGAAGGATTTGTGCCGTGGAAAGTCAGAACAGTCAGATCAATGGCACGAGAACTCGTTCTGGGCAAGGAGAGCCTGTGGGCGCCTGGCGCTGTGCTGGCGAGGCGCTGCAGGGAATCGGCCACCGGGAAGTAAGTATGGCACAGCCACCCACGCTGCCAGCCCACTGCGTAAATGGCTTACCTCGGGCACGGGATTTGCCTTGGTTTGGAACACCCCACCACTTCCAGAGGGTGTTTGGGGTGAGGAGGAATTCAAGATTCATGCTTTTATGTCTTGTCACTGGAGAGTGATACCCAAGTGCTGTAAATTGGGAAGATTCCTGTTCAGTCAAGATCACAGATGAGAGAATACATATTCTTGGCACACGAGTTAAATTCTATTTGCCCATGTTAACAAATAAAAGGTATTTCCCCCTCTTCTTAACAAGAACTTTAGAGTGGCAGAAGAGAAAAAGCAAATGTGTTTGCATTTGTCCATGAGAGGTTTAAAGAAAAACGCCAAAACCCCAATAAGCTGTTTGAGCTGCAGCAATCCCAGGTTACATAAAGAGTCTGGGGTTGCCGAGGGATTAGTAGGTGGCATTACTGGTGGTGATAAGCCCGCCAAGTTCTGCTCGCTCTTCGCTCACTTTTATTTTAGAAACAGTCACTCTGAGCCGTATTTTGAAAACTGCCTGGGGGTAATTTTCAAGGTTGTCAGGGTTAGATTTCCACCGAAGAAAGAAGGAAGGAAAGTTTGGATTTAAAGAACGCTCAGGTTTTTAAAAGCATCCAGTACTCTGGTATATTTTTTTTTACCTCATGGTCCCCATATGGGAGCTGAGTTGTTGAGAAATGGACTAGTTTTTCACTCCTGGGTCCTTCAGAAAACTCCTGCCTTGCTTTATTGGTGGCTTAGTTTATCCATCTCAAAAATAGATTTAACAGCATTTTCCAAAGGCAGCAATTAAAAGCACTTCATATTTTTAAGTGCCTTTGAGATCTGTCTCAGTGCTTAAGTGGACCTTTAAACCAGTGCTTTTTAGGATAAATAGTGTAAAAAAAAATATCTTCCTCTCCTAACAGGCAGAACAAAACTTAAAACTTGATCTCCTACCTATTCTTTTAATTCAGTGTGTTTGTACTTCTTATCTTTGGATCATTCGCTCACAGCTTCCAGAGCAGCAACTGAAGAATGACAGAGGAACTACGTGCTAATTTTTATGTCAAAAATAGCTTTCACCTTTAAACGCACAAGGCTCAATGGCTGTTTTCTAATTTGAAAAAGAATGCCTGAGCTCCTATTGTGAATCCATTTTACAGCTGTGTTCAGACTTGACTGTCAGACCCTGGTTAAAATTTACTACTGAAGTCTTGACCTAGAAACAAACCTTTTTTGGTATTGGTTTGGAAAAAGTATTTCAGAAACTGAGCCAGGCTGTCCAGCCAGCTCCCTCATCACGGGCTGGTGAGAGCAGCGACGTCACATCATTTCGTCGTGTGCTACATCTCCCTGAAGCCCGAGTACGGATCACTGGGAAAGCTGGGCTTACGATTTTTCAAAATTACAGATTTTTTTTGTTCTTCAGGTTTCTGGCCCAATTTGAATGATTTCTTAAAGTACTGGGTTTTTCTTTAAGGAAGCATAAATGCTTTTTGAAACCCAGACATTTGTAAAACATTTCAACACGGGCGTGTGAAATGACTGCTTGCATCAGAGCGTAGACCTCTGCTTTCCCTGCAAAGCCTTTCCAATAGCTACCTCCAAAATCAACCCATTTAGTAAAAAACCAAGGGGCATTTTCAGAATATGTGGCACCGTTTGTTTTTCAGAGAACGCAGAAACACTCTATTCGCCTTTTCACTTGGTTGTTCTCGACAGCTGTCAAGACAAAACCATTTGTGTTCTGTGGTTTCTGTGCAAGGTTTGTTTTTCAGGAAATTACCAATTTGGTTGGAACTGGCTGAATTAAACTCACTATTTTAATTCTTCATAGTTGTGTATTTCTATTCCCATTTCTTTT